TTTAAGTCCGTAGATGTGAACCAGCGACATTGCACACGGTTATATGCCATAAGTTATGTCCGCCTGCGTCGCTGTCTGCACGCAACTCCTTAGCTAGAGCGACGTTCCTCCATTTACCCCAGAGTGTTAACTCTGGTACCCATTACCTAGAGGCTGGGTGAACCTATGGAACCGCCCGGTTTCGAACACCGGCTGTGGGCTGCAGCGAGTCGTAGCTGGATTTGAAAGCGAGTCTTCTATCGACTGCGCTAACGCTGCCCCTACTGGGCACTTATGAGTTACCACCCTTTTACATGAAATATTTTGGTCATCTGATAATAAATATCTTAGTAATCTCATAAGAAATATCTTAGAATCATATTAGAAATTTTTTATTCATCTGACAAGAAATATTTCAGTTATCTGATAAGAAATATCTTAGTCCTCTAAGAAGATACAGAAAGTTGATAAATATAGAGCCAATATTAGTGTATGGTAGTGAATCACGGACATTCAGTAGATTATTCAGTACATTTTTTGTTTACCAGTATTGTGTTATCATTGCCATGTGTGGACATTAACAACAAAAAACAAAAGTAAAATTGAAACAACAGAAAGGAAATGACTACGAATAATCATAAATGTAACTAGAAAGGACAGGAATAAAAAATGACGATTTCAACAAAGAAGTTAAAATGGGACCTGCATAAAACTGCATTAAAAGAGAACAAATCAAATAGTGTGGACATTTGTCAAGACTAGACAAAATGGTAGCTGATCTAGAGGTTGATCACGCCAGCCATGGATAGATAGAAAAGATTGGGTCGTAAATACGAGCACCTATGTAACACATACCAAGGCAATCGCCCTATGCCTCTTCAAAACCTGCTCCTGAAAGACAGAAAAGGACTAGAGACGAGGAAGAAGTGACACCTAGAAGCAGAAGTTTCTGCCCTGCAGGATTGCTGTCCGCAGGATTAACACCTCAGGGACAAGAATCCTACGAGTTCAAATCCCTTTAAGTCCCGTTGAACCGTAATGTTATATTGGTGCTACCGGGAGTTATCAAACAATTTGAAGTCCAGGTCTAGCAGAGGTTAGAATAAACTTATGTTAAAGGTTAAAGTCGGACGGTTCGACTTCTTTGCACCGGGTTTTATCCCATATGACTCAGTCTATCTCCGCAGAACAGCTGGCCGCTTGCCGCACAGAGCACGACCTCTGTAGCTCCGGTCACGATCACCAGTGATCTGTGTGAAAATTGCACTCGTGATCTGAATGGCACAGCCGTAAAACGAACCCACGACTTTCAGAGCGCAAGACAAAAGGCTAGACCACTTCTATACGAAGACCCTCGAAAGTTATAAGGAAGCTGTGGAGATCTTGCTGTATAGAACACTGATAAGAACACCGGGGGCAGACACTGTGCTTGGTGAAGATATCTCAAAACAAGTGAAGTCACAACTCGAACTGAAAGCCCGAATAAGAAAAAGACAATCCACACATTCTTTGGGCACTGTCAAGAGATGGGAGATAACTACGGTATGTCATGGCAACAGAGAAGTAGACAGTTAAAGAGAAACCTTAAAACATCATGGAGTTTCGCATCATGGCACGAAAGACCATTTTAATTATGAATAATTGACAGTACACGTGACAGAAGGTTGTGGACAAACATGATTACCAACGCCACATGGTATGGGCCAGAAGAAGGCAGGTGTGTAGTGCTTTGGGTTGTGGAGCCTGTTTCATGAATATGTTTATTAAATTAGGACGCGAAGTCGGAAAGATAACAGCTAGTAATTGAGGGACGGTAGTTAGTCCTTGTGTGGGTTAGGTTCATGTTAGTTTCCCCAAATAGAGTAGGTCACTTTTAATTCACAGGTTTGTTGGGCTGGTCGACTTTCCTGAAGGTTACAGGTGTGTCCCACTCTGTTGTTTGCTTTCTGTGATGTCTTGCATTTACGTCTTCATTCTGAGAAAGAGAATGCCTGTGACATAGGTTGCAGCAGTTAGGACCAGTTTCTAAATGTTTTTGGAGTATTAAAAGCGATGGCGTGCTGAAATATACAACACGCGATTTAACGGCATTGCGAAACTCCCCGGTAACTATGTACGAAGGTCACAGGGATCAGGAACTACCAGTCAGAATTGACCTGGTGTGTATATGGGCGGGGCCTGGGGAGATTACCGGTACATGCTCCATTGTGATTACTACTAAACTGACCACAATATGGGACGCAATTTTTTGCCGTTTTAAAGCCACACCCCGGCTGTCGACAGAGACCCTAATATAACATAACAGTGATTATCATCCGAATGAGGCCCTTTGCGTCACCTGGTGTTTGTCCTGGTGAGGTTGAATGTCACTCACTCCTTGTGTACTACCAATGCAAACGAGAGAGAAAGAGAGAGAGAGAGAGAGAGAGAGAGAGAGAGAGAGAGAGAGAGAGAGAGAGAGAGTTGGAAACTTATAAAAGGAATCTTTGATTTGGAAACAAAAGTGAGATAACTAAATGAGAATTCGCCTTCATTCTATATTTTTCACGAAGGACTAAAGCAAATAAACTGGTCAGAAACAAAAAATATTTAGTATAGAATGACTGTATCTTTACCAATATCCTACCTCAGAAGACGTCACATGACAGTCAAACATTTGTAAGGCTGGTAAGACTTGGTTTCCCGGCTTTCTGATGCTTTTAACGACCCCAAACGTTTAGAACTGGCCCTAACCCCGACCCACCTCCGTGCCACGAGAGAGTGCAGCCTAGGTCCCACGACTGAAAGCAGTCTAGGTCCCGCGACTGCATGCAGCCTATCTACCCCCCCCCCCCCGAAATATTAGACTGTCCCGTGACCTGTGGATTTTTCCTGTTAGGGGTAGGATATTAAGTTCGTGCTACTGATGCTTCTTTGCTATTAAAAAATTGTCGCGTTCAACCAGCATTTCGAAATGGGGAGCTTTAGGTTTTAATTGTGACCAGGTTATAAAATGTTGTTTAGACATCAGAGCGAGTAGTTCTATGCAGCAGGTTTGGGAGTACTGATAAAACGATAGGACAAGTGGAAATATAGTTTAAAAATATTGAGACATTGTCTGTGTAAAAATAAAGTTGTTATCGTCTTGAGTTTTTTTTTTTTTTTTTCTAATAGTTTTTTTTTTTTTAAAAACAACCATTTGTGACATACTTACTGGCTTCCCCTCGTAATTGCGCTGGACTGTGATGTTAAACCGAATCGTCTCCCCTTTTCCTGTATTTTTTTATTTATTTCCTGACATCGTGATTTCCCAGTTAAGCTATACACAGACGCCTGTGAAATCTCATGGGAAATAGAGAAACGTGTCTCCTTCGCTCGAATATGTAACGATGGTTTTACGTTAACTGTATATAGAAAGTTAAGCATTGAGATGTAATAATAAATGATAACCAAAGTGATATAAACATTTAAAAGAGAGTAGGAGTGATCAATTATATTTTCAACAGTATCAACAAATAGTCACATGCAACGAAGTAAAATATGTTTGTAAGAAAGCTGGCTCAATTTTAATATAGCTCGTTTACTCTGGAACAAATACAGCTTTCAACAACTGACAACATTCGAACGCCGCTCGGATTTCAGAATACATTCTGTCAGTTTATATCGCCTATTCCATCACAATTACTCAACCACAATCATTGCTGTTCACTTCCACAACTATGCCACGATAATCATTTACTCAACGTTAACTACACTGTATTCGAACTTCATCTACGAAATCACGACTGTCTTCTTCCATCTCTGGAACACAACTGACCCCGAGTCCACCTCAGACTTTACCTCGCTTACCCTACCAGCCCCAAGTATCTCGTGCAGTCGTTTGTAGCAAGGATTTTCTGCTCAACTGGCTTTGAACGTGGAGACTATGCAAATCACCTCATCACAATGTTTAAAACGAGACTGTTCCTACAGACGTGTTTGTCCTGATAATTCTCCAGCCAATATGATTGCAGGGTTGTACGTATTGCAACGACATGGACTCAATAGAAGGATTGTATAACAGGCTACATATTATGAATAAATGAGGTTACATATTGTGTATGAATGGGAATGCTATCATTTGTTATTATATCTCACAACTTTACTTTCCATATACAGTAAATTTCAATCGCAGACGATTATGGAGAAAACATAAAACCATCGTTACATATTCAACACAACCCTTAACCCGTTAGGGTCTGGAGGTGTATTGATGGAAGCACTAGTACATAAAACCCGCTATCTTTCTCTGTGTGTGATAAACTAGTCCTGTCTATTTCTTGATGCTGTCATTCCAGATTCTTCTTTGCCCTCCTCTTCTTCGACTCCCCCCCCCCCCTCCCCCCAATATTCATTGAAGCACAGTTTTTGCAATCCAATCATATCTCACCACATGCCCGAAACAATTTAACTATAATTATGCAATGTTTGTCGCAGGTCGACCCAGCCTAAAATGGGTACCAGGATGGGTTGTCCTGGGAAAGTAAAGACAGCCGGCGTAATGCTGACCACATTACCCACAGAGTGCTGATGGGCTGTAAAAATATGGGACGCTCTGCCCATATGCCCGATGCGCCGAATGGCGTGAAAAGGGATCTTTACTTTTTTTTTTTTTTTTTTACTTATGCAATGTTTTTTTTTTTCCTTTAAGAATTTCAGTGAAATGTGACTAAAAAGCCTAACCAAACGGGAAAGCAGAAAAACGTGCACAGAACAACTGGAATTCTTTGTTATTAGCTTGACTGCAGTCATTCCCTTATGTTCACCAAATTTGTTGTTTTTTTTTAACGATTATCTCGAAGTTCAGTCAGGATATACTGGAAACAAGGAGTTGACACTTGGGTGACTGGCCTAGCGTCAACGATATCATTCACCAGACACGCCCACATGTTAATCACTGATACGCCCCAATGTCAGTCACCGCTCACTGCTTTACACCAATTAGCAACAATCTACTATATTTACCACATTCACTTATGCTGTATTTTGTTTCCTATCTTCAGACGAGGCAAACTGGACGCTCTCCTGGGCGACTATCCAATTCTAGACTATGCCAGAGCACACTTAGCTCCGTCTTGTGAGCTCAAGCTGATATCCAAAGTGTTCGGCGTTGATAGATACGGTCTGGGGCTGCCTAAAGAGTCCCCACTTAAGGTAAGATACAAGTATCCATGGACTTTCTACTGGTCTTTATGTGCAATGTCTAGTCTAATAAGGGAGTCGCCGTGGCAGAGCGGCTAGATCGGAAGGTCGCGGGTTCGCTCCCTGGCGGAGACGGACTTTTCTTCAAAAATGACCTTGGCTCCCAGGTCGACCCAACCTTGAGTGGGTACCGGGTGCAATCCCGGGAAGTAGAGGCGGCCGGCGTGATGCTGACCACATCACCCATCTTGTGCCGTTGGTCTATAAAAATATAGGTCTAGCCCTATATGCCCTATACGCCTAAAGGCGTGGAAAGGGTCCTTTACTTTTTTTTTACTAATCTAATAAATGGCAGTTTTACCCGTATGGGTCCCGGAATCTCATTTTTTCTGAGAATGATTTTTGTATAACACTTCCCGTCCATTTTAGGATGCAATTGTTCGTTATATGAAACCCTATTCTGGCTCTTGCCAGGGGCCGCAATATAGCCTGGCCATAAATATGGCCTAAAGGCTGAACTCGGTTTCCGGGACCTCTCCGTGGTGATCCGCACCCACATGGTGGGACATTGTGTCATCGGGTGTTTATCGCTTGTGTGATGTCTTGGTGGGATAGAAAGACAGTCAGTCGTTTTTCTGAGAGGAAAAAAAAGAAGTTAGGGGTGGGGGAGGGGGGCGGTTGGATGGAGGACGATAGACATACATACCTCTTAACCAGCATGTTGTAAAAGGTCAATTTCTTCAATCTGTCTTTCCACCTGCAGTCTTTAAATGTGTCGTATAAATAAAATAGCCGACAGGCAGTGGTAAAAGAGGTGGCATATTCTTGTCTATGAAGTTCTTCTTCACTTTTTCTTTAACCGATTCGTGTGTTGAGGGAGATAGTTTCCGCTTCTTGCTCCTCTGGTTGATCATAGACACATCGTTATGTTGTAGAGTTTCACTAAGGTTATCATGTACTTAGTCTACCATCTGCTCTTCGCCTATCTCCTCTTTAAGTGCATGCCTCGTCTAGTCTGTCAGCTCTGTGGCTAAGCCGATGCGATACCAATTGTTGCAGTTATTTAAGTGATGTGGCTTTTATATTACAACGTGCACAACAGTTCCTTTCAGACTGCACCGACAAGAAATATCTAAGTACCCCCCGCATAGACAATATGAAACTAAGCTGTCTTAAACAGTAAATCCCTTTCATCTTACAGCTTGCATGCCTGTTCCTTTCAGACAGCACTGACAAGAAATAGCTAATTACCCCCGCATAGACAATATGAGACTTAACTAGACTAAACTGTCTTAAACAGTAAATCCCTGTGGTTGTTATCTTACAGCTTGCACGCCTGTTCCTTTCAGACAGCACTGACAAGGAGATCTGAGTACTGTAGCATAGACAATATAAACCTTAACTAGACTAAGCTGTGTACAGCAGTAAAGCCATGTAAGAATCATATGACAGGTTGCACGCCTGTTCCTTTCAGACAGCACTGACAAGAAGATCTGAGTACTGTAGCATAGACAATGTAAACCTTAACTAGACTAAGCTGTGTGCAGCAGTAAAGCCATGTAAGGATCATATGACAGGTTGCACAATTGTTCTTTCCAGACAGCACTGACGAGAAGATCTCTGAGTACCATAGCATAGACAATATAAACCTTAACTAGACTAAACTGTGTGGAACAGTAAATAAAGCCATGTAAGGATCATATAACAGCTTGCACGTTTGTTCCTTCCAGGCAGCACTGTCCAAGAAGATCTCCGAGTACCATCGTATTGGCTACATCGATGATCTCATCGATGTTCATTTCGCTGACGCTCATTGTATCAAGAAACGGATCTCTGAAGAGGATTCGCAGCTGGAGGTCACTCACCACGCAGGTAATCAAATCGTTCTTACATCTTAGTGTATTCTAGACACAGCATTTCGGTCTGCTGTGTTTGTTAATCGTTGCTATATTTGTTATTCGACCTATGCTTTGTTAATATAAATGTATGTAACATATGGTGTCATTTCAAGGTTTGAGATAAATGTTGTCCTTGTTCCATAGTTGTGGATATCAAGCTGTAAAACAGACATGGCCAATTAGGACACCTTTTTGGGAGTGCCTAGTTGAACATGTTCTTAGTACACTTGTTTCCGTAGCGAGATGCACACGCCATTTGGAGGTGACAGGTTCAATTCCCTGCATGATAACTACAGTTTTTGATTGTTATGTTGTCCTTCTAACATTCTACTTCTTTCTGTGAGTGCCGTACAGTACATTGTATGTTTGTTTATTGTAGGTCGGTAGACATGGCGTGTTGTCGATTGTTAATGATATTGTTGGATTTATGCTTAGATGGGCAGTTGGATATGGATGGGCGGGTGGATCGTGGATGGATAGATAGACCGATGGATAGATGGTATAATGTTGAATTAACTGTCCGATTGATAGTTTGTAAATGGACAAACTGATTAATGATAAACTGAATAATGATAAACTGAATAATGATAAACTGATTTATGATAAATGGATCGATGGATTTGTTGATAGATTTACAGATGAAGAATGGAATGATTGATGAGGCAGATAGGTTAATGATTGATAGATAGATAGATGAAAATAATGATGGATAAATTGATGTTTAAATTAATGGTTAATAAATGGATTATTGGTGAATGTACGTACATTACAAAATTGATACATAAAAAATGCAAATGGGAATTAATTACAGATAAATGGACTGATGAATTAATGCGTATATGGATTTCTGATGGACGGATGGATAGTTGTATTATTGATTTGTAGATAGATGATTGATGTATGGATTGGTTAATTGTGTATTAGTGGGCGGATTAATGGATTCGCAACTGAATATGGAGACAGACAAACCTATTGACATGGAGACTGCAATTTTCAACTGACACACAGAGGATATAGTAGTCGAGCAAGTAGATTTGCAGGAAGGTTTGCGAGTAAAGTACACAGGCAGACACTGAGATGGAGAGATATACATTCGGATGGACATGTAAATATATACACAGACAGACTGAGGGTAAACAGACAGGACGGTATTAGGTGATTGAGCAGAGCGGATAGGCAGAGCGCCAGATCCGATCAAGAAGGCTCAAATTAAAACATATAGACGGACATATAGATTACTTTGGAACTTTTCTCTAGGCTATGCCGGCGTGGTGGGTAATGAATAGGCAGTCAGATTGGCTGGATCCGCACCACTAGGTGGTGAATTGATACATGACAAGGCAGATGTGGTCAAGGCTCTTTAGAAACAAGCAACGGAATCAGTAGAGAAAGACGATTATTATGGCCCAAAGAGAATGAGGCACCTGGGTGTAACCAGAGGGTCTGGCCGGCTGACTACACTCAGAGGAAAGGCAAGACGGACTTTTAACCAGGTTATGACCCGTATCATCAGTATTGGAACTCTGCGCTGGCTGCTGAAGATGAGGACGGAGCATGCATGGGAATGCCCCGAGTTTTGTGATGTCAATTCTTGACTCAACTCAACTCAACATATAGACGGATAAACAGACAGCAAGACAGAAAGACAGCTAGTCAGAAAACATCAAGCACAATTCGCAACACAAAAACGTCCGTTAAGAAGGTTGCTGGACCCTAAAATAAGAGTTCTAAAAACGGGAAACCTAGAAATAGAAGACACGGACGGAGAAATGGAGCAAATCTTTCAGTGCAGAGAAAGCGCGCTTCAACAAAAAGTGTTCAAATTGAGAGTGTTGCCAATGAAATGAAATCTCTAAGCAGAGAATGAACAGCAGACGTAATGACTGACACAGTTCTTTGTTGACTTAACTAGGGAGGATGTGGGGCGCACAATTTCCTTGTAAGTTAAATTGAACGCAGTGCACTATTTTCACCTCATTGAAGCATCGGAAGCGACTGGCCGAACTGATAAGAATACAGAGCTGTCAAGCGGGAGACCAGGATTCGAATCCTGGGTAAGGATGGCATTTTTTCTGCGGATGGAATTCGACGGGGATGGGATGGGATGGGGGAGTTGTGGTGGGTGGGGGGGGGGGGATACAATTCTTACCTGCACAGACCGTGGCGACATCGTTAGCCATGAGGCCTTAATTGCTCAGTCTTAGAGATCACTCCTGCCCACCTATCACAAACTCCCCCCTCTCACACCCGCCTTCTTCTGCTTCTTCTTTTTCTTTATCTTCTTCTTTTGTCCTGTATTGTCCTTTACCGTCAAGTCTTGAAGAGGCATTGGATGAGAATCTTGGTATGAGCTATTTACGGAATCGTCTATTCCATCTATCCATCGCTTGCGTGCCAGTCCTCTGGATCTGCTTCTATTATGTCTAAGTGGCAGGACAAGACAGGACAGGGATGCACTGTCTGGTGGCAGTTTTGGCACACATCCAAACCACGTGATCTGTTTTCTCATGATGTAATTTAATACTGGATCTCACCCAACTTTTTTTTTTCATGATATCGTCATTTCTGATCTTGCATTCACTGCACAAGTGGTATTTACAGGCAAAGATATAAAACCGAATGAAAAGTATATAAGCATATAAGCAAGCTTCACAATATAACAAAAACAAACGTGGTTTACAAATGTTTAGATAGGGATCTTCCTTTCAACCAACAAAACGTGAACGTTATTTTAGCTGACTTGTGACCCACTAGGCATGACTCTTTAGATGTCTCTCATACTAAATTACTTATGTTAGACAGGGCAAGTGATTCCTTCGTCATCTACCTCTCCCGGTGTTATTATTAATAATTAAAGAATTATTCTCATATTATTTGAGCCCCCACCAAATGTTATTCTATCCTAACAGTTTAATTAAACATGTAAGAACAGACATTTGGAATTTAACAAACTATGTAGTTTAAAACTGAACATACAGCTTTATTTTACTACAATGAAATTCCCAGTTTGTGTTGATTTACACAAACAGTGACTGGTTAACTTGATGATTGGGAGTAAGCTTCAGCGAGAGAAAAACAGCTCGGGTTTAGAGTGGTATGATAATGATGATAATAGGTTAACATAAAGGGGTTAACTCAACTTATAAGCCTCTGACAGCCGTGAGGAACCGTCAAGCTTGTCCAAATTCTTCCTTGCCTGTTGTCTGCCTGTTTCAGCTTATTCTCCACTTCATCCCCACCTCGTTCTCCACATCGTTCTCCACCTCGTTCTCCCACCTCGTTCTCCACCTCGTTTCCCAGCTGGCCGAAGTCTAACACAATGTAGGCTACTTCATGGACTGATCGTCACATGGGGCGCTGTAATCATGGAAACAAAAAAACACATACGTGTAATATCTTGACTTACACTAAGAATGCATGTATCAATTTAATA